GGTTAGAAAATTGCACTTGATCATGTCGCGATATTATCGCAAATGCGATATATCGTTCAGCCCTAGAAGCACCCGTGCCGTTTTCTTTTAAAAATAAAAGCCGACCTCTGCGAGGCAATAACGCAGATGGCTTACCCTTTATGTTCCCTGTCAGGGTGGTGCGATACCCCGGGGTCATGGAATCCCCCCACCCCTCCGTAGAAAAAAAAAACACAACTGAAAGACCGAGCGATACTCCGGGGATCGCGGAGTACCCCAACGGGATTGTAAGGGGGTTGTAAGGGGATGGAGAAAGGCAAGAAATGTAACACTTGGCGGACACACACAGAAGCTGCTGCAGCAGCAGGGTTGTGGACAGGCTATCACAAACCAGTGGCGTGTCTAGAAAATTTTTGTTGGGGGGGCCAGGTACGGGCACAGATTTGGAGAAGGGTGGCAGATGTAACTGGCAGATAATGTTAAAAAAAGATTCTACCAACCGTTAACCATAATTCAATAACCCTATAAACCTAATAACCGAATGCACTTTTAACTCTTATTAGAATGAGATTTTAACCACTACGGTGCAAAGTTTTTAGATACTGCGTTGATAAAGTACAAGAGATACAATCAGTGCTTTGTCAGTGTTTATTCAGCATTCAAGTTTTCCAGTTTAGGTTTTTGTTTTGTAGTATTCTAGCATTTTTCAGCAAAATAAAGCTGCCTTTTTGAGTTCATTCCTCTCTGTACTGAGTCCTGCATTTGGGTCCTAATCCTGCCTGCCACACAGCAGAATCATGACAAATCCAGCATCTGGTGTTTGTCATGATTCATCTTACCATCTTGCAATCACAGCATTGTAAGTTGGTGAAAGATGTACCCCCCTTGTTTCCCTTTTCCCTTTTCGAATGGCCTCCTTGACCTCCTTGTCCTGATTAACCTAACCACACTAATTGCATGTCTTTGAGCTGTGGGAAGAGGCCAGAGTACCTGGGGAGAACCCCTGAAAACACAAGGAAAACATGCAAACTCTGCACAGAAAGGCCCTGGCTCTGGACAAATGTTGAATTGAGTTGAATTCAGGGCATTCTTGCTGCAAGGCAACAGTGCTAACCACACAACCATGCTGCCCAATTTATGCTTTAAAATGTATGAATTTAAAATGTATGCCAGTATGTATGTATTTTTTTGGCATTGTTAGCCTATGTGTGTTCCATTGCTAACACTCATAGTGGAAAATTTAAAGACTGCTACTGATCTTTTTCAGGCTGCAATTGCTGAAAAAAAGGACTTCATGTTAACATATTCTTAACAAAATTGACACCCTATTCTCGAAGAGAAGCCGATGTGATGTTTGTGTATTGTATTTATGGTCGGAAGAGGTCCAGTTTTGCTGCAGGCAACTGCAAGTGACAAATAAATGGCTTCATCATCATTGTCATAGCAGAAAACGTATCTTTATAAATACATTATATGCATATTATAAATATCTTTATAAATACTCT